CAGGCTACCTCGGTCTGAATCACATTGTGTTACACAAACTTGGTACATAACTAATTTCTATCATTTGTACATATTTCGAAAGTGCAAAAACACTTTGGACTCTGGTAGGCCAAAATGCTCTGTTCGGCTATTGAGAAGCGTGGGGTATCATAGGAATCCATAGGCAAACCAATTATAATCAACAACATCTATCCCGTAGTCTGTATGGAGTATGCTCCCATCTGCTCGGTAGACTAAGGCTGTGGATGGACATTTTCATGCAACCACAGAATATCGTTAGAATTTGACGTGATGGGCCGAGGTAGCTACACCCCATTTGGCGCTGTGTTAGGCGACGAAAGTATCCAGGTACAAAGTAGTACCTTCAATTGTACTTCATCGGATCTAAACCCTGCTATGGGCAGCTACTCGCATTTGGGACCCTCTTTGATAAAGCGAGGCCTGATTCTCCAGTTTCAGCTCATGCGTCAAAGCTGCTGTTGCACAACTGCAGATTGATGCGAAGATCGGGCATGATTCTAGTAATTTGGACAAGTGGACAGGATGTTCCAGGCCGCCCTGGAGCATCAGTAACACCTGTTCGGTTGGGTTTGCCACGAATTTGGGGTTGAGGTCGGTCTGCGGAATAGCTTCCTCTAAGAGCTCGAGGCCAGTTTGACGGTAAGATACTCAGTCAGTTTGGCTGTTGTGATGTAGGCTGCTTCAGTCAGGGTCCTTCAGGTGCTGAGAATAGACTGAGGGCTGCTTCCGATCGGGTGAGCGCGTCTTTCAGGCCAGTGAGAGGGGCGACATTGTTCTGCATCGATTTCAGATGCCCGTTCAATTGGGTCAACAAGCCTGAGACTTCCGTATCGTTCTCCAGCTAGAGTTGGACGTCAGAAAAATGTCAGGCATTTGAAAAACATATTTGGTCCATACCTCATCAAAACCTGATTGTGAGTCCTTTGCTTCCAGAATTGTAAAAGGAGCCGGTTGGCCCTGAGTCTTGGGGATATCATCGAGCTGCCGTAGTGCCGGATGCTCCTTCAAAAGGATGAGCGACATATTCTATGACCAGAACCTTTCAGGAGACTCACATTCTTCATCTGCCGTTTCCTTTCTGCTTCGGCTCGATTCGCATTTTTCTCCATCTCTTGCAGTTGTTTTGTTTCTTTGGCCAATAAGGCCTCTTCCCTTTCAATTTCTGTCTTCAAGAGATCAATACTATCGGTCATAGTTGCTAAGCTAGATTCAAGAGATAACTGGACTCAACATCAGTATGGCGCCAAATAATTCCACGAGAAATCACATACATGCTCATTCAGCGCCGCTTCATAGTCAAACACCGATTCCTTCGTGACAGGAGGAAACGGCATTCGAGGGAGTCGCTTTCCGAGACTTGAAAATTGAATATGTCAGTCAATAATCACCATACGTCTTGCAATCATGATCACGCGACAGATTCAATGCTCAGCAATCAACATACTTCCTAACAACTGCCTGCACAGCCGCCTGCGCTTCGATGCGTTTTCGCTCATTCTGCTGCCGCACAATAACCGGTCGTTCAAGCGCTCGAAACATATCACGAATCTTGTCTTGAACGGGCTCAGGGAGCGTGGTCCATTTCGACTTGATAGTCCGCTCGGAAACCTGCCGGACTTGGGGCTTCAGGTACGCGAAACGCTTGTTGCGCGCTGCATCGTCATGCGCTTCGCTTTCTCTGGGACGCTTTCTCTTTGGTGGCATTGCGCTGTTTCTCAGCTCCTCAATTTTAAACTCCGGAATAAATCGTGGATGATGGGATACAGAGTGAGTTTGTTATTTCAACTCTGCCAAGGAGGGCATTTGGTTTGCTTTGATGTGCCGCCAACAACGCGCCACGGGTACTGTCACATGCTTAATCAGCTGAGGACTAACCATTGTTGAGCCAGTGAGTGGGGCACAATCAACGTCTGGAAGCAATATCGCCAGATCTATCTACATAGTATGTATTCCATAGCACGAGAATATCCTCTGAAGGAGAATGGCTCAGGGTCTATCCCCCATGGCTACTTTTTACAATATCGCAACAGGTATAAAGATATGTTGCACCCAAACACTCTCACTGCCGAGATCGTCTGTTCTATATCTCTGAGCTATCAACATGAACAATCGGTGCGTCCTCAACCACACTCTCGATATATCCTAGATCAATGTATACACATTGCCCTGAGTCTGGTAGTATTTGATATGATATCGAGATATTTCAAGGGTATAATGCTATATACCAGTAATATAAATTAGAAGAAACAACATTATTGTGGCAGCAAGTGCAAATGTTGCCGGTACCTGATTCCAGATCCGCTGGAAGGGAACGCCTGCGTTTTCCTCTGGCAATGGTGCACACTCTCAAATCGCTAAAACGCTTCAATATAGAGCAAGTCAAAAATAAAGACCATGTCTTGCAGGGATTCGAAATGAAAAGATATCGTCATCGCGTAACTGGTTCGGTGATCATCGCGGCATCACTAAGCCGTTCATCGTCTTCAGTTCTGCTAGTTGTGCCTTGAGCATTTCGTTCCCTCGTAAAATATCCTCGAGCCAGTCAGCAGCCTGGGTGAGCATTGCGCTTTTGCTAAACCCCCCGCCTTTCAGCCCAGGCACAAGTAAACACAAATCGTCAAAGCCTTGCCGAATGAGATTCCTGCGCTTTTGCTCTGACAAAATGTGATTGTTCCTCTTCTGCTCTTCTGTGAGATTCTCACGGGCAGCTTTTCCTCCTTGCTGCAGCTTGGCCTTTCGGATTGTGTCATTTGATGTTCGCCTTGGTTTGCCACTAGCTGAGCTCTTCGACCGTCTTGATCTTGGTCTCGTGCTATCTGCGTCAGAGTATTCATCGTCTTCTTGCTTGATCGACGTCCTTTGTCTTTTCTTTGGCTGCGCATAGTCATCTAGGGCGTGATTGTATTCTCTTTGTAGGCTGTTGAGCGGAACTGGCCCGCCGGAATCTCCCCAATGAGGGTTGTAACCACCCGTTGTCCGCTCCGGGCTAGGGGCTCGAGTATTCGCAGCGCTGCTTTGAGGTTCAAGGCACTCCAAATTCCCGAGCAATTCCTTTGTCCGCTCTTCTTCATTCGGTTGATCAGGCGGCGCGATGTAACCTTGGTCCATAAAGCTAACATCAGAGCCCCAGTGGAGTGGGCGTACCTTTGCTGATGCTTGCTGTTCGGCAGAAATCGGTTCCCGTACGTCAAATAGCATCTCCGAGGTATGAAAGCCAACAGGCAGACGCGTATGAGTAGCGCTTGGCTGCTTGGAAGATATGTGGTTGTTAGACTGCTGAGTCTTACTGTGACCGTTTGAAACAGAATGGTTGAAATTGAGATCTGGCATGGATGGGAATTGCTGCTGTCCGAACCCCGGGTTGATGTCAGACCCAGCCATCCCGTTCTGATAGAGCATGGAAGCCGCGGCGAGTATGTCCGAGTTCGCGCCCTGATTATTCGGTACCATGCCAGATTTATCTATTCCTCGATGGGAAAGTGACGGTTGTCCAAGCGAAGTAGTGGAGCCTTCAAACGTAGGCGGCAGTTCAGTGGACCACTCGAAATTGACCGGATCAAGGAATTTACTGGGCTGGTTGCGCAGCCAGAAATCATCTGTGAAATGACTCGAGTTCATCGTAGTGAAGAAATTATCCAGCATGTTTGATTCATTGTCATCAAGAAGCGCAGGACCCGGAGGTGGCGCGGGTGCAGGTTCATATGGGGTGTCCATGGGCGACAAAAACGAATCTAAGACGCAAAATCAGTTAGAGATATAGGAATAGAATGATTCCTCTCGAATCACATACAACCAAAGGGTCCGAGTTGGGCGTCATTCTGCCCAGAACGGGAGTCGGGATCTTTCATAGACATTATAATGTGTAAAGGAGCGACGGACTGGAGGATTGTCGTGATAAAAGTGTCGAAAAGGATTGCTGCCTTGGTAATATCAAGCAGGCCTGAGAGAGAGACAAGATGCGCATGCCTCGAATGGCCGTGATCCCGGATCGCAAAATAGATACAGCCAATACGGTAGCGTGCGATTCGGAGGGTCCTAGAGTTTTCGAAGCAGCAAGAGTGGCTAGATACTGCGCCAAAGAAAGACCGAGTGTTTTCTGTTCAGATATTGTACGAAATATGATCAAAAGGTAGGAACGAGACTTGATCGCGGGGTACACAGTAGGTTTAAAAACTGATAACAACGGGTATCATACAGATGATCAACAAGACGACAAGATCGTTCCCCGCATTTAAATTAATGTGCAAAAAGAGGAAGAAGCAGAAATATGACGATGGGAATCTGGAGACAGTCTCAGACAGATACATAATTTGACGGAGAAGGAGGAATCCGTCGGTCTTTTCGAGTCGATCACATGCAAAAATTCGTGCGCTCTAGAGGTCGCGTGACGTAACCATATTACCAAGATTACGTCTCTGTTCTGGGGAATTTTGGTGGGTAAGTTATTGTACCCTTGTAATTTACCGTCATGGATATCTTCGGAACAATTGCCCAGAGCAGAAAGAGCAGCGATGGGCTTCCAACTGTCATGAAACTGGTTTTTGAGCTGCCTCTCGCAGACTCACTCGCAAATTATGGGAGAGTTTGGGGGTGGCTGTTTTTAGATCTTTTTGATCATTTGAATCCCCATGTTCCAAGATTAAGGCTTGGGAGACCTCAGTTTTGTGATCCTGCTACTCCGTACTTACGGATGATCGTCGTCGGCCATTCCATCGCCTAGTCTTAGTTCTTACTACTGCTACTACTACCCCAGAATACTGTTGCTCACTCCTTTACGCGCGAGGAACCTAATATCCATGTCAGCATTCCATACTTGAGTTGCCTGTGTCTCTTGTCGACCGGATTTCCTATTTTCTGATTGGCAAGCTCGGTGTCCTGTCAAACAAACACTGAGCCTGATCGAGGCTGAATTCATTATCATGATTGGTCCGAATTGTGAGAAATGAGAATCAGAACGAACTGAACAACGTTTAGGCATCATGGATGCTCAGATGCTTGCTCGTGGGAATAGGAGCAAGGCTCGGATCCTCCAGCCGTAAGTCGGAAAGAATCCTTTTGAAAATTGCCATTTATGGCATGGCACGGAGTAGCTCTTCAACATCTTGCATTAGTGCTTGGCCATTTAGCAACGAATCACTGACCTCGCTCTGCTGTAGCGTCCTGCGCGCGTATGCGATAGGTTATCTATCCTCAACAACACCAAGGCTCGTATCATGTTTACGGCGACTAAAAGGTGATAGATTGAGCAACAAGGAGAAGCTCAAAGAAGTAGGTTATCCTTTTCCTGTCATCAGTCTACGACGATTGCTCTACTCGTAGTTGATATTCCTTCAATCTTGCTGGTCGTTATGCCAGGGTCACCAAGCATAGACTGACGCTCACCGTGCAGTTGTCTCGGACATTGACAAATGCTATCCGTCTGGACAGTTTTCCGACGTTCTGTGCACTTTTAGTTGCGGGCTCGACTGTCTTACCTGTTCTTCTTTTGCGACTTTGTGCGCTTGTCAGCAGTAGAATTGGTAAAATATCCGGCCTCATAAAGTCTCGGGGCTTTTTGCGGTTGGTCCGCTTCGTTACTGCATTTGTTTCTGCCTGGTTTAGCTTTCAGCTGCTCAATCAGAAGCCTATCAGACTCCAGAGAAGTGATGTTCTCTCGAGCCAAGGAAATGGTAACGGAGACAATGCTGGCCATAGTCCCGAAAAGAACATCACGGCTCAATACAGTCCTGATCTTGCCGGGAGGACTATGGACCTCACTCTTTTCACTTTCACTAGAGCAATGGATGTTCTTGTCTGTTTGGCATGGTCACGCTGGCGAGCTTTGCGGACAAGTCAAAATCGCTGGTCTTTAGCTGAGTCTGTCGCTCCTGTGCTTGCTGACACAGGACTTTTCGCTGCCAGCTCTGCTGTAGTAATGTGGGCATGGTTTTACCTCCCAGAAAGACTTCCTAGATCCTATGGGAAGTGGATTGGCGAGGTGGCAAAAGTGGACATTCGTCTCATTGAAGCGCTTCGACGGGCCAGGCGAGGGATATTCGTATATGGAAAAGAGACTGGCCAGGCACCTCTTCTTGAGTCTATGTGCGAGGATTACAACTGGCCTAGAGAGTGGGGAGACCCAAGCAAGACAGTTCCCATCCCCTGCGAAATGGTACACATGGGTTGTGGTCCCAATTGCGAAAAACATGCTGCTTGGCGATTTGCTAGAACATTCAAATTCGCTTGTGCAACCTATATCCCGCTGCAAATTGTCTTCCGTCTGCGATCAATGAAAACGATGTCGTCTCTGCGCCGGGCCCTGACCGATGCCCTGCGGTCATCTACCTTCCTTGCCTCATTTGTGAGCATTTTCTACTATTCTGTTTGCCTGGCCCGAACGAGGATTGGTCCAAAGATCTTTAGCCGGGAAACGGTAACACCACAGGTGTGGGACTCTGGCCTCTGTGTCGGGGCCGGGTGTCTCATGTGCGGATGGAGTATATTGGTTGAAAGTGCGCGGAAACGACAGGAGATTGCGCTGTTCGTGGCACCGAGGGCCGCGGCAACTGTGTTACCCCGTTATTATGACAAGAAGGTATGGTTAATGAGCTTTGTTCACGTCGCCTCGCTCGACTCGGGGATGGTTACATTTCCCCCTATCGTTCCATCCTGTTTTTTACCATTTCTTCCCTCCCAGCAGACCACCGATTACTCAGAGTATACCATCAGTCACTAACATGGTCCTAGTATCAATCCCGAGAGCGCGTCACTTTTGCTCTCAGCGCTGCCGTTCTTTTCACCTGCCTTCGTGAACGGCCCAGCATGGTTAGAGGTGTTTTCGGGAAAATTGCAAAAAGCGTGTTGAAGTGAAGCGAGAACACTGTACATTGCATCCATGGAGAGTGTCTGTTGTCGCTGATCGTTCCCTTTATCGATCGAAATTCTCCAGGAGAGAGTTCTTGTACATCAGTAATGGATGAGATATGAATAGTAAACTCTGTAAGAAGTGATCATTTACCTTGAGAGATATGCTTGATTGATGTTAACCCGTTCTACCATTGACTTCGTGAAGTGTTTGAACTAGTAAATACCATAAAAGGCGACTTTTATTTGTCCCAGAAAATGGCAAATGGCAACCTTCGAGAAACAAATCTATCTAAGAAAGCTTCCAAGAAAGCTATTGGATTTGACATCTGTCATCATCAGGATGTATGTGCTGCGGCACAGCCACCTTGCAGCCTAAAATCCGCAACGAGATAAACAGCGATCTGAACGTCTCCAACCCATCAGACAATTCGATATGTCCTGAATCTCATATCATCAACCTTTCTGTGAAAATTGAAACTCAATATGCCGCTTTGCCAGACCTGTGACTCTCTTGACTTTGAGCAAGACGATCTTAGGGATACTGGTATCAAATTAGGGCCGTTCAAAGACCTGCTTACGAGAGCCGAAAATGGCTGCGACGCATGCCAATTCTTCTGCAACGTGTTGCAGACGTCTACTCGATGGACAACGAGACTCGACGAGCTTGTCGAGCGAGTGATCTTTCTTGGCGGTTCCCGCTTGGACGCAAGGAAGCCGACGAAGCTTGGTAACTGCACCTATTGTGCGGACGACTTGTGTCTGGACCAGTGCGTTTCAGAGGATTATGAGGGTGTGCACAGTTTATGCTGAAAGCGTTGCTGTTGAAATGCTGATCTTTACAGGCCCACTAGACGAGGAGGTTGATCGTGTTCGTCGCATCCCCGTCGACCTAAGGGACGAGAAATGCTTTAGTCTAGTTCAAGCTTGGACTGCTGAATGTGCGGCCCATAGTGCCTGTTCCAAGCCCTTGCCTGTTAAACTGCCGGAGAATATCATTGAGATCCCAGCAGATCCTGCAGTTTCTCCCAGGCTGTGTTCGTCGAATGGTAGATCAGGGTCTTACGTGATTTTGAGCTACTGCTCCGGGGATTTCGAGTCTTCAATTCAACGAGAGTCGGGTAAGGCCGTCTTCTCGGCGCCACTGCCAAAGACTTTGGCAGACGCGATAGAAATCGCACGCAAGCTAGGGTATCAATATCTGTGGACCCGAACCCTTTGCACTTCCAGGGAGGAATGGGGCAGCGATCCGGCTCGAATTGCAGAAATATACAGTCGAGCGGCTTTGATCCTTTTAGCGGAAGTTGCGGACGACGCACTCTCAGGGATTTTCCATGACAGGCGGGTATTCTACTCTCCTGCACTAGGTCGCAACAAAGACAAATACCTTCGGCAGCGGCTCCTGCGATGGACATCCGACATTGAGGAGTCACTGCTGGCGGGACGGGGGTGGGAGATTGTCGAAAGAATGCTAGCTCCGCGCATTTTACATGTCACGAGGCGTCAATTGATCTGGGAGTGTGCTTCCGGGTTCCAGCTCGAGGCCTCTGGAATTATCGACAAAAAGACTGGCTCCGGGCAAAACTGACAACGCTACATCAAGGGAGTCGTGCAGCCGTACATCGACAGGCCTTTCCAAGGTCAAACAAAGGAAGCCGGTGACATTGGGGATGTGGTGGCCATCAGCAAGCGAGTGGCACGACTCGAGGCCTGGCATCGGTGTGTAGACGCCTTTTCAAATGGATCAGTCAATGTGCCATCCGACAAGCTACTTGCCATGGCTCCCCTCGCAGCTGTCATTAATGACGGCACGTTGGGGGAGTATCTCACGGGAATTTGGAGCAGTGTTATCGCCTTCGGGCTTGGTTGGTCACGGCCTCATGGTGTCTTACGTCCAGCACCTGAGTACAGAGCTCCAAGCTGGAGTTGGGCCAGCGTAGACGGTATAGTGAGCTCTCATGGTCTGGCGTGGCCCCAGGATCTGATGCAGGAACATGCTAAGGATCCCTCCTGGCTGAAGAAATATCAGCCGAGACTGGTATCTCACCACATTACTCTTGCCGATCCCCAAAGCCCGTATGGCCATGTCGTGGACGGCTCACACATCTTCGTGGAAGGCTCTTGCATTGGACTTAAAACACTTACCCGAAACTTACGCGACAAAGAAGCGTTTGGCTTGACTTTGGTCCTAGATCAGTCACAGATATTCGATTGTTCATGCTGCGTTCCCAGGTCCGCAGATACCCAAAAGGCAGATCAGGACAAGCTCGGCAGCGAAATCGAGCACTATTTCTGTATGGTTATACAAGGGGACGCATGGCGGGTAGAAGAAGGCTGGAATCCCCATCGTGGATTTTGCGATCTTCTCATTCTAAAACCTTTGGACGACGCGGAGGTTCTCGTGAGAGTAGGAACCCTGTGGATTACTGTTGGATCATCGACTGATCCACATACGGCCTTTGATGCGCTGCCCTGGGAAAGACGGAAGTTGAAACTGGTCTGAAATACTGGTCCTGTGCGAGCCAGCAGTTCGAAATGGCCAAGCTTTGCGAAGACCTTTCTCCATTGCTACGATGAATAAGATTTCAGAATGAATATGGAGCACTCAATAGTTGATGTAGAGCCCAATCCATATATCCTTTTCATGTGGCTTGTACACAGTTTCTCGATCAAATGCTCATTTCAAATGACAGACTGGAAAACACCTGACAGCTCCGAGGCAATAAATCATGAGGACCATTCACAAATTTCAGCAATGCCGCCAATCACACACTCTGGGAAGAATTTCCATCTGGCCGGATTGCGCCAGGTTGGTAATCATCGATATAAGTGCCATCCGCGCCGGTGCGGACTCGCCAAACACCCTTAACAATCCTCCAGTCAAGCACGACAGCATATTACTCCCCAAGGCCCTTCAGCGACAGGCCAACATCTTGCGCGAATAAGCGGAAAAGATTGGATTCGAAGGTCTTTCTGCTCAGGCAATCTCACGGGAGCTACCATCAGCAGCGACGTCCACGCGCACGACTCCGGGAGCCATTTGAGTCAGATTGTTAAAGTCACCGTTCAGACCCGCAGAGCGAGCGTAGTACAATGGCGGTGGATTGTAGACATTGCACGGAAGTACACACTGTCAGTCTCCGTCACCATGGGCCAGTGGGGCGATGTCGACGTTACTTGCCCCGGCGTCGAAAATTGGCACGCTGCGAAGCACCTGTCCACAGACTGATTGCGCTTCCTGATGATAGATAACCAAATTGAGTACTGAACTCTCAGCAGCGCTGGAGTTGCTCCAGAGCCGTAGAAAAAGAGCCCGCTTTCTGGAGGTCGCCAGCCTCATACGGCATTGACCATAATTCATTGGTTGAGTTCAGATCCAGGACCCAACACATACAGGTTATCAGTCGCATTGGCATGATTGCCGGTCCCGGATGTGCTTGTGACCACATAGACCTTGGTCCCGCTGCCAGCTATGCCATTCTCGACCATTTGGTTAAGGAGATGACGTGCATGGATTATGCCTTTCCATTCAATGCACCCAATGTGGCGGGATTCTGTTTGAGGTCTCCGTGCCCTCACTGAGCTCACAGACCACTACTGGTGAACCACAGGTTACCCGCCGTGTCATACATGGCGTTGAGGAGTAGTTCATCCCGTGCCAACACTAAGGTCAAATCCACCGTCCGATAAAGAGTTAGGTGGGACCGTCGTTCGTCACCGATAGTTGCCCGATATAGATCTGGCCTTTCTTGAATGTGAGCGCCAGTTGGTCGGTATCCAAGAGTAGTTCCACGTAGGACACATTCAGCATTTGGCCATTTGTCTTAGGGTACCGGGCTCTTTTGAGAGAGTACCCAGCATATAGAGCAAACACGCCCTGTATCGTGCATGGTGACACCTGCATCAAGGGCCGCTTTGCATCTTACTAAGCGTTGGGTTGGTCCCAGATATATTGATCAAATCATCAAGACCATACTCGCACAAGCATGTTGGTAGGGAAGGGTGTGGTGTGTTCAGGAACATGGAGGAAAGTCAAGCACTGTTGATGTATATATATGTTTGAGAACCAACTAGTGCCCAGCTTAACCAGGTCACTTCGAAACTTGCGTGGTCCGTCATACGTGACGGCAGATAGAATTCCTGCTTCCTTCTTTGAAAGCTTGATCAGATCTTCTTCCTTCCCCTGCCCGACATTGAGGTCTGCGAGTTGGGATGTATCGAGATCAATGTGGCTGGTGGACTCTTATATAGTTCTTATCGATAAGAGGACAGAATCATGTGACATGATCTTCATGTCAAGCCCCATTTCTCAGACGATGCATTCGCCGATAGATCCGCAAAGCAACAAAATTGACAGTCATGTTTGCTCGTGCGCCCTTGCAATGGGCACATTTACGGTCGGCGGGAACCGGTCTATGTTCAGGGCGCTTGAACACGCGCTATTTTGACTTTGGGAAGAAGTTTTTCTCTCACAATTCGTTCTTGCGCCAGGAACTACACCAAAATGCCTCGTTTGCGCCTTTCAATACACCCCAGTCGCAGAAACGGAATGCATCCGTAATGTATGAACTTTGATATACTTCTTACTAGCGACATAATTGACGACGTCTAGGTACTACACCGCGAGTCTCATTGTTGGAACCTTAGCGCTCGCTTATGGCTCCGTTCCTCTATATAAAATGGTACGTGAAGCCTTAATAATGGTTTGCCGGTCTCTACCCAGACATGAACCTGAACAATCTTTCTTTGCAGATTTGTCAACAGACCGGCTGGAACGGTCAACCAGTACTTACACACCGTACCGGAGACGGCGACACCTCATCCCGCGTAACGCCAGTGACTGACGCTCGTCGTCTTCGAATCACCTTCAATGGTTCAGTTTCGGATGTCCTGCCTTGGAAGTTTACACCACAGCAGCGTGAAGTTCGTGTGTTGCCCGGCGAGACGGCACTTGCTTTTTATACCGCGACAAATAAAGGCCCGACGGACATTATCGGTGTTGCAACGTACAGTGTTACCCCTGGTCAGGTCGCCCCATATTTCAGCAAGATCCAGTGCTTCTGCTTTGAAGAGCAGAAACTGAATGCTGGAGAGTCTGTTGATATGCCGGTGTTCTTCTTCATTGACCCTGATTTTGTGAAAGACCCGGCCATGAAGGGCATCGACACCATCACTCTGTCGTATACTTTCTTCAGTAAGAAACAATGAGTCCAAAAGCGAAGTTGGATGGAACGCTGACTTTTTCATAGAAGCGAAGTATGACGACAATGGAGTTCTGAAACCGATACCCGCTGCTTAAAGCTCTAGAAAACCGGCTTCATAATCCCCTCAGGACGCAGCGGCTCGCGTCGGTCTCGAGCCGTGATTTACGGTTATCAGACCCATGCCTTGAAGCAACTTCAAATTCGAAATTCGGCCAACTCCCTCAACCCAGAGGCGTACACATCTCTTGACGTGGAGCTTGATTTGGCCGAGTCTCTCCACATAGACAGCGTGTCTACGTCCATTACATCTAGATGGACAACGAATACTATCTCCTCTCTGGAAATGGCCGCTTTGGATATAAAAATATCAGGAAGCCCGACCTTCGGTGTATCATACAAACGCGTGTAATTGTACATATGATTTTTCAGGTTAGAACTAGCGTGGCTTTGAAGTAGATACGTGAGAAAAAATCCCCTCCACGTAAAACACGAAGCACCCTACCCGCGTGATTTTCGAAAGCGAGGACCGAATTGTTCATGTTTGTCCAGTTAGACATCTGAACATGCAGCTCTACCCAGATCACGTGGGGCTTGTACGCAAATAGTTCTCGGAGCTCTGGGCAGTGTGCACGGGCCACCAATTAAGCTCACGCGTCACGAATAAACGCGTATCGGCTCTAAACGATATACTCTGCAACGGCCGTTGATCAGTTTTGTTACTATACTGGAGTTCGTATACAATTGCAGACAGGGGTAACAAAATGGCTCTTTTAGTGGATAGATTGCGACCTCGTTCGCTTGATTCTTTATCCTACCATCATGAGCTTTCCGCACGTCTAAAGTCATTGGTAAGATACGCCTGGGATTGCTGCTGAACGATGGACAAATCATTGACTCTCTTCTTGAATCTCTGCAGGCTCAAAGTGGCGATTTCCCTCATCTCCTGATGTATGGGCCCTCGGGCGCAGGCAAGAAAACCCGTGTGATTGCGACACTGAAGGAGTTGTACGGCTCGGGAGTAGAGAAAATCAAGATTGACGCCAGAGTCTTCCAAACGACAAGCAATCGGAAACTTGAATTCAATATCGTATCATCTGTCTACCATCTCGAGATTACCCCATCCGATGTTGGCAACTATGACCGGGTGGTCATCCAAGAGCTGCTCAAGGAGGTCGCGCAGACTCAACAGGTTGATTTATCTGCGAAACAACGGTTCAAGGTCGTTGTCATCAACGAGGCAGATCATTTGACTCGTGATGCGCAAGCGGCGTTGCGACGAACGATGGAGAAATACAGTCCCAACCTGAGACTGATCCTGCTGGCAAATAGCACGTCCAACATTATTGCTCCGATCCGTTCTCGAACCCTGCTGGTTAGGGTCGCCGCCCCTACAGAAGAACAAATCTGCGCGGTATTACAGAACGCTGGTAAAAGGGAAGGCTGGCCGGAGGCCCCTGGGCTCAACAAGAGAATAGCCAAGGAGAGCGATCGCAATCTTCGGCGAGCACTTCTCATGTTCGAGGCGATATATGCTCAGACGTGTGTACTCCGTACTGTTTGTGACTGCCGGTATATAACTAACAATGCTACTCGATCAGTGAGAAGGTCACGGACAACACGCCAATTCCCCCGCCTGACTGGGAAGCTCTTATCTCATTAATTGCAGACGAGATACTCGCTGAGCGGTCACCGGCCCGTTTGCTGCAGGTCCGCGCACGGTTATATGACCTCCTCACCCACTGCATACCACCTACGACAATCATCAAGGTTCGACTGCGACACTCGATTCATGCTCAAAATGGCTCCTGCTAACAGCTTCACAGACTCTGACTTTCAAGTTAGTTGCAAGAGTCGATGATGCATTGAAGCCGGACGTAATTAAATGGTCCGCATTCTACGAGCACAGAATCACTCAAGGAAGCGTAAGGGTCATCTGCCTAACCAAGTCGGGGAATATGCTTACACCAGGTACAGAAAGTGATTTTTCACCTAGAGGCATTCGTTGCCAAGTTTATGCGCATCTACGAAAGGTTGGATCCTCCAGCTACCGCGCGAGCACTTTGACCAATTGCTGACGAAATTTCGCAGTTACTTGATGGGCATGGACTTCTAGACATATCTTTTGCCATGACTAATGAATGTATAAAATGGACTGTATCCCAGAAATGAGACGCATTGATTGCATTGATGGATTGACCCTTGTGATACCGGTTTGCATACTCTGTAATACATAGTCCATAAATTGAGGTGACTCGGTCAAAATCTCTTGCGCAGAGAACGGTATCATTTCGTCAATGCA